TTATTATTATTTATCATCATTGTTATTATTGTTCTTGTTGCTGTTGTTGTTATTATTGTTATATTTATAATTAATATATTTGTAATTTCATCTATTCTGCAACCTTCCCAATCATATCCTCACAGACCACGTTGTTCAATTTCTCCAACTAAAGATAAAAATTAACGAGAAAATGACCGCCAAAGTTTGGTGACTTCCAAAGCTTGAGAGTCCTTGGAAACTCTAAATTTACGGGTTGTGTGTCTTTAATCAACGTTTTTAAGTAAAAGTCACACAGCAAATTGTTTTTAAATGGACATACAAAGTACTGAGTCAAAAACTAAAAATGTCAATAAAAATTGCTATAGGGGATGAAAAATGCCGGTTTCGTCGGTTTCATTATTTTTAGCTTTAGTAGAGGTTTTACGGCGCTCGCAACTGCATGAGGTCGTTTGAGCGCCAGAAGATTAGAGGTATTACAAGAGAGTAATAACATTTTAAAAAAAGAAGGGGAGAAAAGGACGATAGATGTTTCATAGGAAAGGAGAAGCAGATCACACCAGAGCACCCACCAACCACCCAGTTTTCATTATTTTGACGAGCACCCTATTTTCCCCACGCTACCTCACAATTGGTTTTTCTCTGTACAGAAATGCCACACCCATCAGCTGATGTCCTGGAAGATCTTCAGGGCGAGCACGTCTACAACAACACTGATGGACACCACGAGTACTTCTCCAACTCTTCTTTGTTAGGAGGTACGTATATTATCATGGACTGTCACAGCTAAAGATTTAACTGGCTCCATGATTCTGTTTTCGTCAGTTTGTGTTTGGCGGGTGATCTGGTGTGGTTTGCTCCTTCTTTCCTAAAAAAAAATCTATCATCTCTATCTCCCCTCCTGCTCCCTTTTTTGTGTTTGTTACTCTCTGGTAACATCTCTTATCTTCAGGACTTATTTGGCCTTATTGTGTTGCAAGTGCCGTAAAACACTACTAAAACTAAACCAATCTCGTCGTTAAAACTTTTTTGTTAATTTATAAGATAGTTATTTGGTGTAGTTTTTTCTAAAAGCTGAAACACTCCAGTAACATCATGGACCGTCATAACTAAAGGCTTTACGAGCTCCATCCTCGTCTTTAACCATATCCGTACGCTCTGGGGTCATTTTGTTCCCCCGGGGTTGTATTCTTCACATTTTAGAATACTTTTAGTACGAAGATCTCTTTGAAACCTTCAGTATTTCTCAAAAAATTTAGACAAACTGCTATGCAAAGCGTACGAATCGGATTAGCGAGTAAATTTCCTCTTTGGAAAGCGGTGGCACGTCGTATGGATGCGATAGTAAAAGATGACGTACGGATTGGGTTAAGGCATGATGCGGGGGAAATTTTGAAATTCATTAATAAGAAGAAACTAAGCTTACAAATATGGTAGCATCAACATAAATAGAGTGGAGAATTGGGCCAGAAGTAAAATTTTGAAAAAAA